GCAGAAGATAACCCTTTAATTGGGTTATAGATATAACATCTAATATAAAACTTAATAATAAACAAACTACTTAAATAGATAATCAAAAGTTATATATATGACTAATTATACTCTCTAAATATTTATATGATATGACATTATGTATATTATAAAAGTTTTTTTTTTTTTTTACTTTTACAATGTTATGAAAAAGTAAATTTTTATTAGATATATTTAGTAGTATATTCTTGGATAACAAGAATACATTCTAGCCATACCTGTGCCTTTTAAATGCTAATTAAATGCTAATTAAGTAGCTATCTATTACTAGGATTTATACTAAATGCCATACTTTTAACTCACTATTATTTGAGTTATTCAATTAAACTCTTTGATGTTCCCGGTCTTACACTATCACCTCAATTACACCAGCTTATAACCTTGTGCTGCTTTATTGAAGACCACCCAGAACAATATGTACTACACTACTTGTGCTTTAATTCTATAGATAACTCAGTAAGATTCTTATACTACTAGGTTGCCCTAGAGAAGGTGTAATATATATTCCTCTAATCTTTCTATATCTCACACATTTTCAAACTAAACTTTTTTGGTAACTTATGCCAAGTTCGAAAACAAGTACTTGCAAGCCAAGGCCGCTACAGCTACTTACTACTACTCTTGTAGAGTTTACTTAAACACTGGTACCTACTTTACAGACTTCTTTCCATATTTCTGAAAACTTAAACTCCCAATCCAATGACTCAGAAGGGCAAAGCTCTTCCTTTGGTTGTTTGTTAGTCTAGTTGATATAATGCTTTGCCAAACACCTCGATCTTGTTTAATTTTCTGATATCTGGTTAATCATCCTTTATATAGTAACTGTCAAAGATCTGTACTAACTCTCCACTCAGGTCTTGCCAAACGAGCTTCTGTATTCTGTAAATTCGCTAGATTTATTTAGTAGCTTCACTCAGATTTTGTGTAACTTGTATATCACATTACATGTTCTACTACCTCCTAGTATAAGCTAGTATGACCCTCATTACAGGTTCTATAACCCAATAGGATATAATCTTTCAAATGCATTTTTTATAAATTTGAATTTTTGTTGTCATTGAAATTTGAACTTTAGTTCTGCCACTTAAGAGTGTAACAACTTGCCAACTTCACTAAGTTACTACACCTTTTATATTATAAAAGTTAAAACTATAATTAAATAAAAAAAATTAACTAAAGATCATCTTAATATTAAAAAAAAAATTATTTAAAATTAAATATAATAATATGGGATTATATACATATATCTGAAGGTATATATATCTGTATTATGTGATTTATATATCAGGTGTAATATTACATGATCAAGAAAATTCAAAATCTATGCATAAAAAAAAGTTTTTCTTGAACGATTTTACTATATAACTACCTAAACCCAAACCTTAACACAGTTCTTACCCTAACTCTAACCTAACATAAACAATATCAATATTACTGTAATCAAAATAATAGATACAAAAAATTTAATATACCTTACAGGTACATCTACATTAACTCTAATAATATAATTAATAAAATTATTTTTTAAAAAATTTAAAAAATTTTATTAATTTTTTTTAATAATCACTTAAATCAACTTTTTTTAATTACAAGTTAAAACTCAAAATCAAGAAGTTCAACCTACTTGTTATTTTTAGTTACAAACTATTGATAATAAAGTTTTTAAATATGATTTATCAAAATATAGATGTTTTAAACCCTTTGCAAATATTCTATAAAATAGGTGAAAAATATGAAAAATAAGCTTTGCTAATGGTTAGTAATTATTAATTTTTTACTAGCATAATTTACCACCTATTTTATAGAACATCCTATATGAATATATATAATTACAATAAATTAGGTAAATCAATTTTTAATTTTAAATCAATATCTTAAACTAAGTATTTAAACTTGTAGTTTTAATAAATTATAAAATGTTAAAAATATATATTTAATATATAGCTATGTATTACTACCCTCTGAAACTAGTTGTCACTTTGCGTAATGTCAGGAATTCAATATTCAAACTCCACCTATCATTAGTAATACATTACCTGTAAATTACTAATTATAAGCGGAGCTAAAGAAATTACATGAAACACGTTAAATTTCTTCAAATTAAAAATACGAATATTGAAACCTCGGCATAACGTGGTGTGACAATTAAGTTATGGGATTTTGACTGACATGTACCCGGCGTTACATCGCTATAGCGATAAATTATAAAGACCTTATATAACAAATTAATTTTGGTAATTAAATATAAAAAATATAATAGTACAACTTTACAAAATATTAAATTTGTTTATAAAATAATATAAACTATCGCTATGAATTTATAACACCTACCTAATCAACCAATCAGATTACAAATATAAATTAAAAAATAATATTTCTAAAAAATCATTAAAGGACAATTCTTAAGCAAAACAACACACGATTTTACTTATAAAACCGCCTTCCACATTTTAATACAAACAATTCTCTGTGTAAAATTTTGATTTTTACTAACCCTCTACCCTAACCTTGGATTTCACATACCTAATCTTATTGGATACATTACGCATCGTCAAAATAAGCTAAAATTCTTTCACGGTTATTAAAAACAACAAGTAAACAATTATAATAATAATGCCCAGTATGACGACTATATTAAAAAGATAAAAAAGGATAAAGGACGAATTAATTCGAGATAATTTAATAGCATGGTAATATGTCATTTACCTAGTACTTTTCGATACTTGGCAAGTACCTTCTCAGTTTTCTTTTCCAATTCAACACGATTTTGCAACGACCTAAGCTGCATAAAACGAAAAATGCAATTAACCGGAAGACCATAAATTCAAAAGGGGAACTTTTTAAACCGAGGCGTAATGTGAATTCTGTTCGAAGCATGAATAAATATGCTAACAAGCCAATCGCAGGATCAAGCACAACAGTAAAATCATTACTGTATACCACTGACTATAGTAGCCGGACACTGATACAGAAAGCCATCAAATTCATGAATAGAAGTGAAGATACTATTGGGGTAATAAGGATGTTGAATATAAATATGTATATATTTGACCACAATAATACCCAGATCTTTTTCAATTTTTGAATAATGAACCCATGAATTGTACCGTCTTTTTTAAAGGTTATTATAACAAAGGATATTGTGGTCAGTGGTGTACGGTAATATCTTACAGATTTTATTTGGGAAGTTTCTGCGTTCTAAAGAAAAAAATTCTCAAAGTTTTATGATAGGAAGAAATTTGTTAACTCTACTTAATATTTACCCAAACGCAACCAAACGGTTTGATATGACTTGGGATTTAATTAACTCATGCCTCAAATAGGGTATATATTCACTTTCACTGATTAAGAACCTTTCCTTACCGCTTGTTGGTATTGTTTCAAAACCTCATTTTTATCACGAATCCGCGTACTAATTGATTTTAGTCTTTCAGCAATCGTTTCAGTAGTTCTGCTTGCTATATCAATAGTTTCTTCCATCTCTTTCGTTGACCTGGAATCGGTCACTGAGATTTTTTCGTTAAGTTCCTTTATGAAAAGTAATTAAAGTAATTGAATTAATTGTAATTTAAAGAAAAATATCGGTTTTTTATACCAATTTCAAACATTCAACCAATCAAATTTAAACATTATAGTAATCAAACTCGAATATTTAGTCAATCAAATTCGGATTTTCAACCAATTAATTAGGAAAAATTAGAAATTAAATTTGAACATAACTAAATCATGAAATCTTATGAACAAGTAATTTAAACCACATGATTTTAGTACCATTCGATTCGTCTTGTCAAGACGAATTAAATGATGCCAAAACAATGTGATTTAGATTACTGGACCATAAGATATCATGATTTAATCATGTCCAAAGTCAATTGTTATACGGCAGGATGAAACCCGCGCTGTGAATTAGTAAAATCCGCTACGTAGATCACATGAGGATGAAATTCACTTTTGCATGATAAAAAACATAGCTAAACGCGGATTTCACCTTAACGTGATCTACGTAGCGGATTTTACTAATTTACAACGCGGGTTTCTCCCAGTCCTATTGTTATTATTAGTAGATCGGTTGAATATTCGAATTTGATTGACGGATGTCTGAATTTGATTGGCTGAATGCCGGATATGATGGCATAAAATACCGATATACCCATAATTATGGATCAAATTTTCGTATAACCAATTTTTCAAACCTTAGCAATCTCATCTAAATCGCGGAACTTACGTATATTCAAATCAAGAAGCGCTGCCTTTTTGTCAATTACATTCTATTATAAGTAACGAATATTAGACATATGAAAGTGTAACAAGGAATCACGATTACAACATTTTGAGCGTTCAATAGTTTTCAGCTTACGTGCAAAGAAGAGAATTCTTTTTCATGCTGAGAGCACCTATTAGATAGCTCTTCGATGAGTTCAGTAATATCGCTGCAAATAAATGTATTTCGTGTTAATTATGAGTATGAAGAACAACACACGGCGAAACATTTATCTAGAATTTGTCTCACCTCACATCATCATCGTCTTCACTATCTACACTTTCACCTTCGGAATCAGAAAAAGTTTCAACAATGTGACCTTTATATTTCAATAAATCTATGAAACATATAAGAATAATAATAATAAGGGAAATTTAAGGTTATTGTGTAATGTATAATTTGTGCAAAATAATATTAGTATAGAATAATTTACCCCTAATTGGTCTCTCTTTATCTGTTGCGAAAAATCTTATACTATTTAGGAACCGCGATTTATCTTCAACAAGAGCAGCACTCAAAATGAACCTTATTTCATTAATTTTGATCTCAAATTGTTTCGCTTCTAGATCTATTTGAGTTTGCATTGATAACATTTATAAGTTTAATTAGCATAATTATTGAACGCATTTAGTGCACCTTACCGTTATCATTTTTTGATTCAGAATTAATATTGTCCATTATATCCACATTATCAACTGGTCCAATTTCTTTGTACTCGATATTACGAAACTTGTCCAATAATTGACGCCTTCTAATATCTTGTATTTTTTTATTTTTTTCTTGATTACTATTGTCATCAAATCTCGACTGATCTCCCTCGATATCATCAAGCTCCAAACTTTCATTGCTTGACGACTTATCTAAAGGAGTTTTAAAATGTTTGATACACCATTCCTGATCTTCTATCTTGTCAACGCTGCTATAATACAGTACATGATTAGAGATCTGGAAGATCAAAAACCGAATAGATTCATTCTTGCACGTTATATCTTTAAACAAAAATAGATGTGGATAATCATGATATTTGGGTATAGCTTCAAGGTTCATTTGTATTAAAAGTCCATCCACCGGTAAAGTTGGGATATTTGCTTGATTTACTTGAAACACGCCAAGTTTATTATTCATGATGTTACGCAATTTTGGTCGATTGATAAAATTGTGTTTATTTTTAGATTTATGTTTTCGTTGCCTATGAAAAATGCGTCGTGGCGATGCAGTTGATTTTACTGAGGCTGGAATTGTTCGGGATAATTTATTTAATGATTGAAATAGATTATGGTCTTCACTAAGACAATCATCATCAGTTGCATTTGGGGATTTTCTTGAACGTCGAAAAGTTTTTTTTATCTTGTCTTTTGATTTTGATTTTTTAGAAAGTTTGGGTATCGATACATTAATATTAGTCAGTGAATTTTGTGATATTGGAGTTTCAGGTGATATATATATAATCGGAATGTTCTGATTCACGGGTGGTGTAGGCTCTAAAGTATAAAAAAAGCAACGTGAAGACCACAATAACAGACACTCATATTTATGAGCAACGGTAAAAAGCGTGTAAACTTTACCTTGTTCGTCTGAACTTGAACTACTAGAAATACTCTTGGATTTTAATCGTGATAGCTTTGCAGTGATTCGACTTCTTTTTTTCCTCCTCGTTGATTCAAATTTGGGATTGATTGATGGTTGGTTTGGAATTAACGGACAAGCGGGGTTATGATTAATGCCGACATCTGTATCGACTGTAAGAGCGGGCAATGTTCCAGTGCTAGTACTAGACATTTATATATTACTGTATTGCAATATTGTGTTATGAAAATGCAACACCGAACAGTAAAAAACATCCACTCTTTACAAATAAAATACATTTCAATTATTACACTTATTACACGACGATTCCCAGATTATAGAGATGAGTATTTGATCTGCGTAATTTAATGATTCTAACCATAAATGATAACTATTATCGTTATATCGTTATATGAGTAACGGAAAGAGAATTCACTAACCTTATCGGATTCGGCCCCTGATTTTATCTGCTGTGATTAGCGTTAGTTCTAGAATACTCTTAGAAAAGTCGCCAAATCATAAAATTTTCCTGTTTGATATCCTTTCTAATAGATTAAAATGATAAACTTTAATCGTTAAAAAGCATTAGGTTCAACCCGATGTGATGGGATGAATCAATTTACACGTTTTCCTTTTCTGTCACTCGGTAATTTTCTGACCAGAATTAAAAGTTTGACACGATAGTCGATCGGATCTAAGCACATCACTCCGAAAACAGTGACGAGCAGCAAAATATTATAAAATGCCGAATTTGAGAATTATGTAATCAATTCTGATTGGCTAATTTGTATATAATCGATTCTGATTGGTCAAAAATACATAAGAACAATTTTTTTTTTTTTACGTATAAGCTTATCGTTATATTAGGCGCCAATTTTTAATTACATATAAACTCTTAAGCTGAAATAACTTTTCGATCTAAGAAAACAATCTATTCTAACAAAATTGTAGCTTAGACTAAAAGCAACAAATCTATAACTGATAAGACAGATTTTTTTTTTAGAATATAATCATT